AGGAACCAAACAGAAGAAGACGGTGGCAAGGACCACATTTCGCTCATCCTGACCAGGCGGGGAAAAGCACAACTCACAACTCAACACCGAGCAGGCTCCGACTTCCCGCCTCCGGAGTTGGCTCCTTGGCCCTTTTTGGCAAACGACCTGCCTCCCAATCACTTGCGGCAGAGTTCTGGATACTTTCATCCAGGATCAACGCTGCTCGGGTTGCCACCTCGAGAGCAAATTTCGAGGAGAGGGGCAGCCACTTTGCGTGCAAGACAAAATGGAGAATGAGGCTACGGCATATGTGAGGCTTGTGAGGATTGCTCCATACACAGAAGCCGTGGCGAGCAAAATTAGAATAACGTTGTCGCCTGCAAGAATTGTTGAAAACGACTCTCCTTCAGGCAAGAAATCGCCAATTTTCTCGTTGAATATTCTCAAGCTCACGCAGGCTGCCGATGTGATTGCCGTCAGCCCAACTCCGAAAGGAAAAAAGACCGTCTTCGCCTCCGCCGTCGCTAGGCTTGACTCGGCCAGGGCGGCAATCCTGGAGGATTGCCCATAGTTGTACTTCGATTTTGCTCTATATCTGCCAGCGGCACTTTCAGACAGGGATGAATACAAAAAGATTAGCGTTGTCAGTGGCGGTAACCACACAAACAGTTCCGGTGAAGCTGCAACAAGGGTGGCCAGTGCAGATAGCCCTGCCGCAGAACCTGTTGCCAGAATAGTCTTGATGGAAATCAAAGGGGTCGACATGCGAAGAGCTTCTTGATCCAACTGAATGGACTCGATGGCAGCTCTAAGTTTGCGATTCTCGACAGGATTTCCAGCACCTTGCAGTTCCGCGACGTCTGTCACCTCTGTCTTAGCACGCTCGACGACCACAGAGTCGTCGACAGCTTCTGCGACCGGCTTTTCGAGGGTCAGGACTTCCGGTTCAGCTACTGCCTTGGATGGCAACCTTCCTCGATGAGAACCTGGAGCTTGTCCGACCAAGTATCCGGGATGACTTCTTGACGGGGAGCTGCTCACATTTGCAATGAAACAATTCACTGCAGACAGAGCAACATATCCACAAAGGACGCTTGCGAGCACTCGGGGCAATGCCCTCATTCGGTTTACCCTCTACGTCCCTCACACTGCCAGAGCAGTTGGATGCCTTGGCAAACGCTGAGCCAAAGCGATGGCGAGTCCTATCAAAGCCAAACTTCTAGTCTTGCATCAGTGTCAACACAATGTGAAATCCGCAGCTTTTTCCTAAAGGAACTGGGATGCGCAAAGGCTCCGAAGCTAAGTCTCTAAGTCATGCAGATTGAATTCCTATGGACAAGCTTTGGAGCAAGCAGAACGCTCTGCAGAAATAGAAGGCGTCACCAATCAGTAAATGGATCGGGCTCCTGGCAGGCATAGCGTGTTTGGAGCTCGAACTCAAAGCTGGGACATCATGGGACCCTCGGGGCTTGCACATTGCTGGTCCCGGGTCCTCACAAGCCACCGGCAATGCTCCTCGTCTAGGCCGGCAAGGATCTGCTGCAGCTGAGGCTGCAGTGTGCCCCAGCGTCGTATCGAAGGAAGGTCCTACCACTCGCAATTAAGGGGACAGCCGAAAGTTGAGCAATGCATAACTCCGAGGATGTGCCAAGCCTGGCGCCGTGCTCGAGTCGACTGCAGCCCAGTCGATGGATGCGAAGAACTCATATCGCCGCACTTCCGCACCAGAACTAGGTCTGTCTGCCGGATCAATTCGGCAGAAGGCACTGACAGCTTCTTTGGCTGCACCACCTGCACTTGAGCTTGTAGGGAAACGACAGCATGCAGAGCCATGCTGTAACGAAAGCATGTGCGAAAAGCCGTCAAGCCTTTCGAGCAAGCTTGATGCAAGTGCTGCCGAGATGCTTGCCTCAGAATCGCCCGGCCACTGCATGCCAGGACTTGCCAGCTGAGCTTGCAGCGTCTGAAACCCCTCCAGGACGATGTCATCTTGGTGTCCATATGGCGGCTGGCCAGTTAGCAGCTCGTACAGTAGAATTCCCAAGGACCACCAATCTGCAGCGGGACCGTAACCCACAACGGCTGTCGGACAGACCAACTTCAGGTGCTCCAACCAGCTGCTATCTGCACAGCAAATGACTTCGGGAGCCATCGTGCGCAAAGTTCCAACAGCTTTATCGCACCATGCACCGTAAAATGCGAACCCATAGTCAATCAACTTCACTCGTCCGTAAGATTCCTGCGACAGGGACACCATGACATTGGTAAGCTTCAAATCTCTGTACAACCAACCCGCTGTGTGTAGCCACGTGAGGGCCGCAGCAAGCTCTGCAGTATACCATTGCACTTGCAACTCGGACATGCGAGAAGCTGCACGCACATGGTCGAGCAGGTGGGCGCCCTCGACCAACTCCATAGCTAAGCATATCGCGAAAGAGGTTGTGAAAGACATCACCAACTCAGTCAACGCAGGGCTAACCCAGGACGACCCATCTTCTCTCGACCGAGCGACCTCGGGGCGGAGTAAGTATAGCACTAAATTTTTGGCACACATCAACGAAAGATTCGCCTGACGAAGCACGTCCCGCTCGGGGTGCAGAAGGTGTGGCTCTGCCAAGTGTCGGGGAACTTCCTGAACAGTGCATTCAAAGGCGTCGTCGTTTTGTTCAGTGACAGTTGGCTCACTATCACCGATGCAAATTCAGCCCGAACCCTGAGAGGTTTTCCTATGTGACTTACATGAGCATATGACGTCGCAATTATCAAAGTTCTATCTAGTCGCGCGTGGAGGATATGCCAACCAACCAATGTACCGTTGGATCTCGGGCGGGAGGTGGTTTACAGGATGCTTGCGGTGATGTTGGTGTGAAGGCCAACTTTGTGAAGCTTATGAGGCGTTGCGACTCGTGTCTGCGCCTCCAACATCCTTGCTCCCATTTTCGGGAGGGACGCGTGTTCCCGCCACAGTGTGGCACGCATTTTGGCATCACGGTGGGGTCTCGGGAGCTTCAAGATAATTGTACACGTGTGACAGGTCAATGAATAAACGTATGTGTGTGCATAGATAGATAGATAGATAGATAGCTAGCTAGCTAGCTAGCTAGCTAGCTAGCTAGCTAGCTAGCTAGCTAGCTAGCTAGCTACCTAGCTAGATAGATAGATCGATCGATAGACAGATAGACAGGTAGATGGATACATAGATAGATAGATGCATAATTATTTTAATGTTGAATCATACAACTGCCTCCTTTACTTATGTAGTTCTACAACTATGTGTATAGAATGTAGTTGTGTGTATTTATATTTATATACGGCGATATACTTGCGCTAAACTCTATAACGGTATAGTTGCATAGATACAGCTCTACATACATATATACATACATACATATATACATACGTACATACATTATATTATATTACATTACATTACATTACACTACAGTACTAAGTACATACATACGACCTGCGCAGTGACCTATTCATTCCCTGTGTGTGTTTGTGCCTCAAGGAGAAGGAGAGTTGTAGATTCAGTGCATTGTTGCACACTTGCTGATGTGGGGTGTAGCAGGACGGGGACGGCTGCTGGCAAGATGGGGTATGAGTCTTTCACGTATTTCCCAGGCACTGCCAATGACCACACAAGCAGGAGCCGTCAGACACGAACCAACACATACCGACATAAAGACTAGAGTGAGTGAGAATTGATGAACAACTCTTACATATCCTCGCCCCAATTGGCCCCAAGCGCTTTGTGCGATGCCCGCAAGTCCTTCAAGGCGATGTTGCGACCCGTCTCTTTGCACCGTGCGAGCCAAACCGCACCGAAAGCACCTTCACCCAGGCCTTAGCCGGCGAAGTAGTTCGTTCACCGTGCCTTGGACTATGCAGTGATGCACAAATACATCCGCCGTCTTACCCTTACGTTTGTGGCTGCCCCTGCGACGCTGGCTAAGAGTGCGCTAGGAGCAGAAGAATGGAACGGAACAGAACTGAATCGCACTGGTGTTGTCAGCCCTCACCCCGCGCGAAACCCCACCAGCATCTTGAATAGCTCAGTCCTCCGGAACGTTGCAGAATGAATGTTGGCACACCCCTCAGTTTCTCGCTGTAAACTACGCACAGAAGTCCGGGCAGAAGGGAGCGACCGAGGGAGAACTGAGGATTGCGAACTCGGCTATCAAAAGTGCACTGCAAGTCACCCTGACACCATGGAACAGTTCACACAGGAAGCGGGCAGCACAAGCCTGGGCATCCGGCAAGATATCTTCTCAAAGGGAGTTGGGCTCACGGCGAAAGCTGCGAGACACCCAGGATCTTCACCGCCACTTGACTGCGCATCCGAACCGTCTTCGCTGCCAGATTCAGCCATAAGCGACCTACGAACTTCTTAAAATGATTGCATGAGTACGAGACTGGACTGTGAAGTGCGCATCTGTCTTTGACTCGCTCTCAATTCATGCATAGTCTGCGCTGCAGGCCAATCGACTCCCATCTGCTTCCGAAGGAGGCCCTAACGGGATCCTAACGGGCATCAACACTCTCTTGCATGAGCACAGCATCAGCAGATGTCGAGGCAAAAAGCAGGGCCTGCCCTCCGTTTTGCCGTCCCTTGAAGGAATTGTGGGCGTTCTGCTGGACACTAATGGTGAAGTTTGGTACACTGCTGCGAGACGTGAATTTCATGTCTCGAGCTGAGCATCCTTAGCACGAATCAAAAGAGAACCTCGTACAGAGCATCACAGGTGCGCCTGCAAGCTTCACAAATCAGCTGTAAACAGCTGCAGGACTGGTAGCACCTTGATAGCATGACTCTCGTCTTCATCATTGTCTATCGTCTGGAGTCTAGAAATCACCAAAACAGCGATTGGCAAGGTATCTGTGTGACTTGTCTATTGTCTTACCGTGTTTGCTCAATCGGGCCTGTGCACTGACTAATCAGCAGCCCAACAGCTGACCCCGATGCCTCAAGCATCGGAATGCCTGGGCTTGGTGCTCCCTCGATCACTCTGTTAGCCTCAGAACACCTCTGAGCTTGGAGGAGATGCTTCGCGCTCGGGCTCGAAAGGCCTCCGAGAGTGCATGTAAGAGATGATGCATTGCACTCTATAAATCCCCAAGGACCCAACCGATCTGTCGATGGCTGAAGACTCCTGGGGTCCTTCAAGATTTTCCAATCGAAAGCCGACGAATGCAGTAGACCGTTGGACCCTCTTCGTCCTTCGGACGACGGTTGAAGCGCTCGAAGGACATCCCGACCACGATTGCACCGCCTGCACCTGGCTGCTGGTTGACATGGGGACGAGGCCACAGAGGGTCCAGCGAGGCCGTGGCTGAGCAGGCCCAGGACCGCCGCCAGACGAGCCTTCTTTCGGCTCTCCTCCCCGTCTTTCACCAGGACGCCCAGCCCCCCCGAGGCCAGACTCTCAAGCAAGGCCTGGTGGCGGCAGCGCTCTAAAGCAGCCCCATCCTGCAAACGACCCCCACCTTCTTGCCGAAGCCGCGGAAAAGCGTTGCAGCGTACACCACACAGCCTTGGAAGCTGAATGCGCTTTCCGCGTCTTCGTTTTGAGGATCTTTGGCAATGTTCACAAAGGACCAGGCCAGCTCCAGCTGCGGCAGCACATACCTCTGCCGGATTCTCAGGCATGACTCGATCTGAAATCCAGAAGAAGCGGACAAGGCTTGAGCAACTGGAAACCCGCCTTGAGCTTGTGCAGCAACGAGTGAGCAAATGTCCTGATGTCAAAGTTGTTGCATCTGTTGCGCCATGCTGCGCGAAGATCTCCCACGCAACAAAGCTTGCCAACTGCTGCTAGAGTCCTCGATCGCTCTGTAAGGGCAGCGAGCATGTTCGGAACCACAAGCGGGAGAAGCTCGGGCTCTGTGACTTTCTGCATCTTGGCCTCAAAGGAACCCTAGCATGCTCAGGGTCTTCATGGTCTGTTTCGTGGCCTCATTCCTCTGCTGGAGGAAGCGCAAAATCCTGCTCTTACCGGCCATTCGGGCTTCCAAATTTCCGAAGCGAAGCATCACGTGACTGCGCACCAAGAGATTGGAGGTGCGCCCTCGCGCCCATCCTGCACCAAGCGAGCGTCCTAAGCATGAGGAGACAGGACCGATTATCGCAGCCTCTTGAGGCCAAGCATCAGATCTGGCAGCTGGCCTGGGGCACAGGCACAAGCAAAGGATTTTCGGATGTGCCCCCATTTCCCCTGCATGTCCGTACCTGGCAAGGCCCGACTTGGACTTACCTCGGCTGCAGATACGTTCTCCAATTCTTCCGTTCCTTTGATGCACAGCCGGGCCTGCCGAGACGCCCTCATCAGCTCCGAGAGGAGGGGCCTCAGGCGTGTTTCAGTGCTTTCAAGTCTTTCAAGGTCACTGCGGCATGATACCGAGCCAAGCTGCTTCAGGCAGCATCAACTGCTGCAGGAGAGAAGGGAAGAAGCTGAGAAAACTCCTGCTGCCAGTAATGCACAGGTGCCGATAGCAAAGATCAGTTCTTGCAGCTCCGGTCCTGCAAAGTATGAAGTTGACGAAGTCTGGGCCCATGCTCTGAACGATTTCTCGCACAACTCCTCCAAAAACTTGCAGGAAAGAACAACCCACGGTTCAGCAGCGACAGCTAAAGCAAGAGCCTTCCGATGATCCGCTCTGCATAGCCAGCAACTGTACACGGCCCTGCTGACGGAGCAGTCATCCAAGCTTTCTGACATCGCCACCGTCCCCCTCCACAATCGGAAGCTGTGGCGAGCGCCCACTTGCGGATGGCATTGGTGACCGGCGACTGCCGAGCTCGAACAGGGAAAGTCGTAGTCGGTCCAAGCTAAGCTGCATCCCAGGAGCATCATCGTGAATGATGTCGAAGATACGTCTGTTCAGGAGGAAATCTTGCACCTGTCAGAATTTGCCCAAGTGACCAGGCCGGGAGGATAAGATGTTAGAATTCCGCACGTCGCGGCTTACAAGTACCTGCAGGTACCTTTTTTGTGCGCGCGCACCCGCACAAGGGATTGTCACCGTCCATGTCTTCGATGCGTTGGCCGTCTGCTGTGTTATCTGCTCCGCAAGCTCACAGCACGGCAGGCTTGATCAAGCGCCGGTGAGACTCAGGGCGGTCTGATTTTCACGCCCTGCCACCGAACCCTGAGCTCACGCATACTTCGGGTTCTCGGGCATGTCCAAGTTCTCCTTTAAATTCAACGCAACATGGAATCACGAAACCAGTTGCCTGAACGCTGCAGTCACTGAGACCCTGTCGCCCAGCTGCACCTTGTAAGCAGCAATCAGCATCGTTGGAAAAACTGTCAGTATCTGCCACAATGTCACTCAGCCACCGTTCTGCATAGGGCATATAGTGCCAAGACGGCAAACTGTTACTGCAGTACTGTTGCACGCACATGCGTATTCATCCAGGGCACAATGAGCACGATGGTAGTCAGGAACGCCACTGCACGACCGATTGCTCTCTGGTTCGGAGTGAAGTACTCCTGGCGAACACGCAGAGTCTGTCGAATGCCAAAACAGAACTACAAAAAGCTTCTGTCAATCCTTGGGCCGCATGAACGCAAGGTTCTGGAGCATCTTTCACACAGGTTCCTCCCAGAAAGCGTTCGGACTGATTTGATTGGTGCAAAGGTGCTCAGATGTCCGTTGCTCCTCTTCACGGAAGGCCGAAAGTATCAAAATCTCCCTTCTCGAACCCACAAAGCTCCGGCCACAAAGCAACTGTCAGCGAAGGCATCGCGCTGGTTGAGGCTCACGGAGTGCGTGGACCTACTGTCAGCGAAGGCATCGCGCTGGTTGAGGCTCACGGAGTGCGTGGACCTCGAGATCCTTTTGCTTTCTATCGTGAAGTGGCGTCTTTGCGGTCTTTGACCGGGGCACGGCGAGCACCCCTAGACAACATACACGCACAAGCCCTCCTGATGATGTGGTCAGGAATTAAAGCTGTCAGCGCTGGACATCTCGCACGAGCACAGCGTTTGCCGCCAATGCTGTCTGCCTCATAGGCTAGGCGCAGCCAGTGTTCCACTGGCTTTGTCATGCCACACCCCATCATGATCGTGCGCAGCAAAGCATTGTAAGTCATAAGTTGGAGAAACAAACTGATTTCACGTTCCTGGTCGTTTTGTTTACAGAGGGAACCTTGCACCTCCAGGCAGCCAGGTTCCTGCAAGAAGCATCGAGAGTCAGACACGCGCTGAAATCTTTTTGGGGTAAGGCAGGATGTCCGATATGTTCAACAGCATCTTTCTGGTCTGTTAACATCCATACACGGCAACATCATTGCCAGCCCCATTCGACAATTCACCGAAAACGTCCACGGCACTTGTGACCTAACATCTGCCGAATTCCAAGTGCCGCACATGCGCTCGGCTGCGCTCTGTACAATTGCGTTTTAAATGAAGCAGCTAGCTGTCTCGTGTCACCTGCGGAACATGTATGTCGATTACCACAAGACAGCTGCTCCAATGCAGGCTCACGCAGGAGGCATACGTGAGGAGCAGCGCTTCGAGCGTCAGATGTGCTCCCACTCCATTGCCTGAAAAGCAGGCTCGATCTTTCCGTGGTGCGACTTCACGCGCAGTCTTGTGCATAGCCCACCCGTTTGCACGAGGGCACCCTTACGCTCTATCTAATGAACTTACGACTGCAGAACGGTCGGCAATGCACCCGCACGCACACACACACACACACACTTACACTTGTACACCGGACTTGCCGGAGTCGCTCAGCGTCGATATTCACTCAGGTCTCATCTGAGACGCGAAAAGAAAATCATGAATGGAGGTAAACAACAGGCTGCAGGCTGGATTTCCTTGCTGATGGTTTACTAAAAAGGTTCTTAACAGCGAGGATATCACTTCGTTGATTACGTCGCCTCACAAGCAGGATCCTTTCTGCAGGTACGTGAAACCCGCGTCCAGGTTTGATTTCAGTCCCAAGTGTAACCCCTCTTCGTTGGGCATCCGATTGCACTGGGAGGATGGCCCCCCTGCATCTTTTTCGAGTCTGCACCGCACGAGCTGTCTTTACGGGTTGAACTCCTAGATCCAATTGTAGTTCGGGTTCCCCACACACTTTTGCTCTGTATCAATTTGCCCCCCATCAGCGAATCTGACACGATCAATGACCCGCCACCTTCTGACTCTCGTTCTGGCCACTGCTACTCTTACAAACGCCCAGTCTGAGACAACTCGGAGTCGTCCTCGTCATCCGTGGCCATCTCTGCTGGTGACGGTGCAAAGGTGGACGGGCTGAAATTCTCGTCCAGGTCAAGGTCCTCGGTGGAAGGGGGTCTGCCAGACGGCTTTTTCAATCGAGCAGAACCCAAGGCGATTCCATCGATTCCATCGATTGCACCAGGCATCTAAACGAACATCAGCAGGAAGTTTTGTCTTGTCAACCTCGTTGAGGTTGCATTGAGGTCTACAAGCCACAAGCAAGGGCAGAATCGGGACCTCAAACGGTTTCTCAGAGCAGCACAAACTCTAGCTTCAACTCCTCGTCGCTGGAGCTTGCTCGCTCCAAATATCGCACGGCAGACCTGCAGCTGGAAACAGTTAGAACGCAAAGTCGGCGAGTCCCGCCCAGCACTGAGGCTAGCGCACCATCATCAACAGCTCACCTTCCTCAGACAAGAAGTATGCGGTGCCTCACACAGACGAAAGGAGACATGAAGTCAGAGGCTCCGTTTCCATACCTATCCATAAGTAAGCGATCCTTCCAGCCGATGCACCGTGAGGGTCCAATGCGACCTTGGCGACCCTCGCCAGTCGACCCGACGAGTTCACAATGGGCTGCCAACCCCTCGGCAGTTCCGTCAGCCTCAGCTGCCCTCCGTCAGCTCCTTTCTTGCTCCATCGGACTCTTTACTTCAGGCAAGACGCATGAAGCCGTGGTCATAGACCTATAGCCAACGTTCGCAAAGGCCGACCAAGTTCACAGAGCAGCTCTAGAACAGACCACCCTGAGCCTCGAAGATGGTTCCGTGGCAGTCCATGGTCAACTGTGTAAGTCCAGTCACACCCGATAAAAGCAGCTGTACACTAGCATTTGTGCCTTAGCTGCAAACTGTCTGCTGCGTAGGCAAAGAGGGAGCCTTGCATCAGTTCGGCACAAGCATGACAGTCATGCTGCCAACCACAGGTAGGTTGAGTTCTCACTACTCTCAATGCAGGCAAGTCTCTCTGGACTGGCTGGAACTGATGAGGGCGCTTGAAGGGAACGATGGCGCCACTCTGTGGTGTCAGCTCCTCGCAAACTATCCAGATTCAGATGGCAGGTCGACCCCCAGGCCCTTTCGGCACTCCTGCACCTCAGCAACGCGGCATTTCGAAACGTTCAGGACGGGCACTTGCTGTGAGAATATCCGTCCTGATGTTGCTGGCGGATCTGGCTTCAGCCGGGTAGAAAACTGGTGCTTTAAGTCACAACGATATTCGCGAAATGCCTGCTACGAAAACAAAACCGCTGACCAGCAAAGCTAGGAATCGTCTCTTTGTCGCGTCCATCACGGGCAACTCCTGCGCATCACGCTTCAGCATCGTGAGCTCAGGGCCCTCAAGCCTCCTCCTCAGTGGAGAGTGTGGCAACACTTCGCGCCAAGAAGGCATTGACTACCAGGCTAAACGGGCAGTTCGGTTACAAAAAGCTGGTGACTCACTCTGATCCTGGCTCCTGCTAGTGCTCTCTCGCGTTCCTTCTGTCTCGTGCTCCTCCGGGATAGCTCTCTCGCGCCGACTGCCTCGTTCCCTCCTCCTCCTCCTCCTGCTCCTCCTCGTCCTCCTCCTTCTTCTGCTCCTCCGTGACCATCTTCATACAATGCCCATACGGACTACAGAAACGTCCGACGGGTCCATGAAAGGAAATCCCTTGTTTGGGGGCTGAGCAAGAGGAGCACGGGACGCTCCAACACTGGCCCCAGCACAAAACATGCACTCGCTGCTGCCGAAGGTCCGCTTGTCCTTAGCCGCATCTGCTGTTCACCAGGCAATGTGAAGCTCGAGACAGAGCTTGATGCCCCTTAACACTAAGCCAAGACTCCACTTCCTGCACGAACTTCAGTGCAGGCTGGGACAGCCCAGCTGCTTGTAGCTCTCGCACTACTTGTTGTAGAGGGATGCGACGGCGCTTCCTCCTAAGCTCGATTCCAGCCAGACTGGCTCTTCGAAAAAAGCACGCATCTTGGGTTCTCATAAATTCAATCTGCTGGTGTACGCGTTAAAGCCGGCCGCTTGACGTGCCAGGGTGCATGACATACGGGGCTCCTCACACGACCAGGCGGCCGCCAGTAAAAAGTCGTGTTGGACACACAGAACTCACAAAACCCTACTGTCGGCGTGACGATACGTGACGGGCCCACGTCGATAACGGCCGTGTCGCAGAGTATGTGCCGCCAACCGGGCACGGGTGGCGCGTGACGAGTGACGAGTCACGGTGTTGGAATGTGTTGGAGCATGACGTTGCACGGCGTTGGCGTAGCTCTCCGAAGAAAATTTTTCGCGCCCTTGCTTTTAGGTACATCGGAAGAAAAACGATAAACTAAGCATCCAGCATGACTGCATGATAATGATGAAGTCAAAATATCGCCCAAGTACAGTAAGCAAAACCGACTGTGGCTGGATTGCTTTGGGGTTCCTGGCGAATCCGCGACTAAGGCATCGTCTCGGGCTCTGCTTCTGGCGGATCAGCGACAAAGCGCTTCACGGATCCCAGTTCTGCCATGGCTTCCCCAGGCCCCTCGGCCCCTCCCCTGGCGCGGACCTCGCTACCGCCCGAAGCTCAAGTGGCAGCAGCACAAGATAGCACAAGATAGCACAAGCATGCCAAGGTTTGCCAAGCACATCCAGGCACTCGAGGCACAGCGGATCCTGTAATCTGGACCGCCCGCACCTCTGCTGGAAGATGTCTCAGCAATCCCTGAGGATCGGCTGCGGCAGAAATAGCAATACAGACCTGGCAGAACAGAAGAGATCGCCAGAGCCGATCGTTTCTAGGCAGTCTCTGCTCTGTAACATGCCACGTGCCACAACACCCGCCAGGATAGGGATCAAGTAGCTCTGCGACTCAGCGCATGCTGCATGATGTGAGCATGCAGGGTCTCCGAATCTCCCTAGCACACTACCACAATCTGACAGCCACAGGCGACCTGAGAGCCAGGCAGTCAAGAAACGCACAGCTGCCCAAAAGCAGCCTGCAAGCACCGGACTTTCCGAGAGCCTTTCCAGATTCCTCGACAGCCACCTGAGCACCGCCTTCACTAAACGCTATCTCGCTACTGCATCATGAGCATTGGGGTTCCACCCAGCAGGCACCGTGATGAAGACTTGAATGCGTGTTGCCACAATGCAACACAACGCTGCAAGTGCTCCCACGACAGCTGCTAAAGTAATCTCTCACCTCTGCATATCTTTGGTTGCAGCTCCCTTTAATCATGTGTGCCCTCTGACTAAACTGGTGTGGAGCAGACAGCCAATGCGGATGCATTCGCGGCCTGCCAACAACAGAACCCCACCAATCGCCGCGAGAGCTCCGCGAAAATGAAATTGCGCCTCTCTTCAGGGCACACAGAGGATGGAGCCAAGGCATGAAAGAAGCTCTCAAGCCTCGAAAGCCCGGAGACAGGCAATGCTGCTCAAAGCCTTGAGGATTGCATGGCTCTGACGGGACTAACACTCTCCGAGACTCGCTGCTACCCGGTAGGCACGCCGCAAAACCAACGTACTAACTACCAGTACTTTACACGGCTGTTCAGAGCCACGCCGCAAATCTTATGGCTCTGACTAGTGGGCGCCCGACTTCTCCGGACTTGGGGGTCAATGGCTTCTCCTGTCATGTTCGCGCTCAGGCCTAGGCATGCCCAGACCTTGTCGCAGGGAGCAAACATCATTGTCCTCCTGACTGGATGCAGCTCCAGCACACATGGCTCCCACAGGCGATTTACAGAAAGTGCCTTTCGACATATTCGTGGATGTTCGGAACTTGCGAAGCAGGAATCTACTCGTTCATTCCGACTGTCTCTCTTGAGGCTGCGTTCAAGTTTGTCATGCAAAGACAACATCAGCAGCATCGACGGACGCACCTGTTGCAAACTCTGCACGGGTGTAAACTGCACTCTACAGCAGCTTTTCAGCTTAATCAAAGCCAAGCACCAGGTCTTTGACAGGCTTTGTGTCGGACTGTCTGCGGTGGTTCACGTAGTCTGAAGCAAGAGATAACTCAATGCCAGCTCGGAGCCTGTGTGAGGCGCGTGATCGAGCTGGCTGATATGCAGGCCACGCAACCAGGTCATTAACGTTTCCAGATCTGCTCAGAGCTCGTCGTGACCCTCCTCCAGACAACCAAGCATGGGACAGGAGCGCATTGGACCATTGCCCTTAACTCTTCGACAAGGCTCCATGTCGAGCTCACCACCGCCCTCATCACTGCCAGCTGAAGCCGGCTTCGTAGGCAGCTCCGGCGCATTGGCTTCCAGCTCCTGCCAGGGAGCGGGATAACCGGCAACCCTCAAGTGCGGCACGGTGCTCCTCCCGCTTCTCATGTATTTCTTCAGCTTCAGCATCGGGGTTTGCAGCCAGCCAGTCCTGAGAAGAGGCAAGGCATTGATGAATCCAACAACGCTCATTTCATATCATTCCCTTCTGCCTGACCCTCGGAAGCTGCTTCCTGAAAAATGCCTGCGTCCTGAACGGGTCGCCGTGTGCAGTGCTCACAGCACCTGGCATCTCTGCGCCTCTTCCGATGCCGATTCTGCAGCTGAATGCAGAGATCGAATCAGGGCTTTCAATGCCATACGTGCCTGCAGAAATGCTGGGTTATCTTTCGAGATCGCATGGATGCAACATGGGCCTCTGCACGATCAAACTCTCTCTGATCATCCTTGGCGAAGGATTCCGCCTGTGAAGCCAGAAGGAACTCGCATCCTACACAAAAAAAAGAAAGAGCCACGGGCTGGCGGCCTCTGAGAGCGACTCCTGAATTTGTTCTCCGCTAAGGAAGCGCTCCTGCTTGATGACGAGCTCGCCTCAGCCAATGTCCTCCCCAACCAAACTTTCACACCCTCTCTGGCAGTCCAGGAGTCTCCAACTTGGATGCCAGCTGCGTTTGCCGGAATCTTTGCTGTTCGCTTCCACAGTAAGTAAGCCATTTTCGTCCACCTGGGCGCACTGCACAAAGCTCCTGAGCTGGGAGCAATTCCCTCAACGTCACAGTGCAAGAAGGCACAGAAGGCCTGCCTTGAAAAGGACCTGGATCTGCGGCACTCCCCTTGGGGCTGCAGGGATGCCTGCGGCAGACTTTCCCCAAAAACTCAGGACCGTAAAGACCCTCTACGACTCTACGTTCCGTGCGCGCCTTTGATTTGGAAGCTTCCCAGGAAGTGGTTGTTGCGGGCCTGCAGAGCTCGCGGGCGAAGCAGTTCGGAGCCAAGTCAGACCTCCCCCCCGTGTTTGTGAGCAGGGGACCATCCGTCTCTCGCCCTGGAACACTTTGATGCTGGCCATTTCCTACGCTCCGGCGGCTCTTCACTGCACTCGGAGCACAAGCAAGGCTTCCAGTCCTGACCATCCTTGTTGGTCGAGAAGGGCATCCTCAGCACAAGTACATTCGTGGTCGGCTTCAACCGCTGTCTCGTAAATCCAAGCTTCGAGTTCTCGGCTGGCAACTGCGCGTTGCGATTCAGCACCGTAGTCATGAAGCCGCCAGCCTCAAGGGTCGGAAACAGGCCTAGTGTGGGAGAAGAGAAGCTTGGCCCCGTGCTGTCTGAATGCCAAGCGAGAGTGGGATGACATCGATGAGGCCACCGTACTGACATCAACGCATGAGCGAAAATTACTGTGTCAGTCGCATCGTGGTCCTGGCCTCGACACTCTCCTCGGAACTCAGGCCTGCGGCCTGCGATGATCTGCGATGTCGTCTCTAGGGCCGCTCTCGGTTCGGTAGAAGGATCCGGCCATCACTGCAGCGCCGTAAGCGACAACTTCATCCGGGTTTATCCTTCTCATGAGCCTGACAAATGCACCATGCAAGTGCTTCGCGGATCTTCGCGGGGGACACGAGACAGACTCACTGTCAGTTCGGTCTGGGAGCTCTTTGCCATCGAAGAACCTGGAGCGTCGGAGTTGAACCGTGAGGCTTGCGAGGCTTGGAAAGCAGCAGCCATGCTTGCCTACAGCCAGCTGGTGTAAGGCTTGCTGTGTGCAGTGGGCTTTGGTGTAAGGCTTGCTGTGTGCAGTGGGCTTACCAAGCCGAAGAGCTGACTCAGCATCTGCTGCACCTTCGGGATGCGCGAGGAGCCACCCGCCAGGATGACCTCGACCCACGCAGCACAAGCAAGGAAAGAAAACGAAACGACCTTTACCACTGTACCCCTTTGCATGTCATACCAGCGTCCAAGGCGCGGTGGTCACCTCGGACTTGTGCAGTCCCGCATCTTTCAGAACCGCCTGCACAGGTTCCAGGGTCCTCCACCAGCCGGTTGGCCCAGCTGCGCCATGCTGCGCCCATGTGCCCACGGAAACTTTGCTTACGGCCAAGTCTTGATGGTTGCCGATTCTGGGTCCTTCTAAAGAGCTCGTCGTTGAGCTTCTCGAACTGTCCTCGCGTCCTCGGCTGTCCAAGCAAGTCGCGCTGAGCCCTTACGGCCCTTACTTGTAAGGTGAGACGAGGCACAGAGTTTCCGCCAACGTCGTGCCACCGAAGTCAAGCTTGACGGTCGCCTTTGACAGGGAAACGCAAATTAAGGGAAGGCAGAGATGCCGTGACACAAGTGTCACTACGAAGTCACACCTGCGGCACTGTGCTGAGCTTTCGCTTGGCCTCCAGGTTAGCATAAGGCGCTCTAAGTCGCATCAGCAGCCTTCTGTAATGCGCTTCCTGCCTTCTCGGCTTCCACCCGGAGCATTTCCAGCAGCTGCGGTTCGGCAGAAACGTCCTTCCGTGCACCCGATGAGGAAACGTGTCGAGGTGCCACGTTCCGGGTGCCAATCACTTCCAATCCTTGCTGAACTTCTTCTTGAAGCTATCTATCCTCAGTTTATTTTGGCAGGTCTTCCATACACAGAGAACACAACCAACGGGCAGAAACGCATCAGGTGCCAAATCCATCGATCGATTATAACGGCCTGCTTGGTAGACTTTGCTATTCACAGCTGCAGCTGCGAACAAGTTGCAGATGTGTGACCAACCGTCGGTCGAAGTCCTCCCCTCCCAGGCGAGGGTCTCCACTGGTTGCCAACACCTCCGGGGCAATGTCGCTTCCATGCGAATCGTCAGAGATGCATCTATGCCCACCTGAAGCACGCCGCTGGAGCCAGTCTTCAACACCGACACATCACCTCTGCGCTCCAAAACAAGCAACATCGTCTCTGCCTTATACTCTGTTGTAAGTCAGAGCGACACGTGCCGCCACCCAGGTCGTACACCAAGATGACCTCCTGACCGCGTTAGCTTTAGGAACAGCACGCAGCTTAAGGCTTCATGCTCACTACAGCCGTCCTCGACTTTGCTTTCCTCGGGCCACAAACGTCACACAAACCCACGAGAATAAATCCTCTGACCGGGTGCTTTGCCGGTTTGAGTTGGCAAAAAAAATCTACGTCTCGCACTTAGACACTCAACTTGGACATCACGAAGACAAACATTCGAGGCGAACGGAGCTGAAACAGCTGCTCGCAGCTGCTGGACAAACTTGCACCCACATATCACCACCCTTTCTCCCATGTGCT